TTAATACTAGCGTCTTGTTTGTTGAGCTGTTATATAAAATCAGTTAATTTGCGATCGCGCTGACATCCGGGAAAGCAACACTCTTGATATAGTTAGACATTACTTAGCTATCACGACATAAATATAAAAAAATACATTTCTAACAGGACATTTTATTTTTGCCCCCATATATTGAATTATATTGTAAACTGATAGCCTTCATCCAGCACTGAAAAACTCTCATAATGTGTTTGTTTTTTTGCAAAGTTAAAAAATGTCAGATCGCACATCATTAAAACAACAGTTAGGATATTAGTACACAATAAATATCGCACACTCCTCGCTCATTTATTTTCTCCATGCGAAGCTGTCCAGTGCGTCACAGTGTCGTTTAATATTGCACACATTTACCACAGCCACGAGTTGTGATTAAACATACCTGTCGCCGTTGAGATTACTTTCTTTCCATTTCTCCTTAAATAACCTGTCCGTCATTCCAAGTCAAATTTCTTCTTTTGGATATGTTTAAAATCACCAGAAAATTGCCCCACAAGCATCAGTTACAACGCAGCTATCATCATATTATCCTCGTGCTGCTCGAGATTCTGGCGCCGCTTTAAAACACGCATGTTAAGTGTCCCGACTCCCGAGGCGTAATATCAACTCATTTGTTCCGCTTTAAATTCAAAGTAAAATATTGTAGCGAATACACTATTTAATTTTCAAAATTATGTTTTATTTATTATTGTATAATATTGTTTAAATCATCCTGCGGGCCGTATTGGACACCTCTGTGGGCCATGTTCGGCCCTCGGGCCGTATGTTTGACATCCCTGGTGTAGGGCATATTTCCAACATGACAGGGCATTAACTTTTAGCGATAGTCCCCGGATATTTGAATTCTGAACCGCCGCAATACGTACGCGAAGAAACGTGATAAAAACACAGCAATACGTACCTATATCAATTTTGTATTGAAGCCGTGTTTTAGCACCACTCAGTGGACATTTCTCTTTGAAACTGCGGCGAAATGTGCAGTAAGGTACGTAAAAACGGTGTTGCAGAAATGTACGCAGAGGTACGTATTTTTATGAGACTGGGTTGACTGTTTGGACTTTCAAGTTCAAAAGGATGAAAAAGTACCATACATGTATCATATAAGTAATCGATACAATGCAAAGATTGAAGTCATACAAATCTTGACATGCACTCTAGCTCTTCTTAGTAAACGTCCATGAGAAAAGCGATGTCAGGTTTGTGAACAAACTGTTCCTTTGAGTTGGTTCTTTTCAGTGATTTGGTTGATTCAGTTCACAAAACTGTTTTGGACGATGCATTCATGCCTCAGCAGCAGTTAACCTTGTAAAGCCTAACATGAAATAATAGTCAGAATCATTTTTTTTTCAGTGTAGCAGTTTATTGAACCTTTAGTCAAAATTTGAAAACTCAGACATAATTCAGAAGCACAAACTAAGCTGAAATTGCTGATATTGATTGGCTATAAGTAAACTGAAATTCTTATAGCTTGTAATGTAAATCTATGAGATCATTATAACAGTATAGTAGACTACTTACATAAAATGCATAAAAAACATAAGTTGTCACTCTGTTTCTCACAATACTATTTCTTAGTAAAATAATATTTAAAATATTTAGTTTGATGATTAAAGCTCTGTAGTTTTTATTGTGGAGAAAAAACAATGCAATGCAATACAATAATTTGGAGATGAACAAATAAGCATTCCTCAAAATTATGATGTTTTATATCTGATGCTCAGATTTTAACATATGTATGGTTAATCAAGTAAAGCTAAGTTCCTTCAGTCCAGTAAATGTTTATCTTGAAATATTGCTAAAATATATCAAAGGTATTACTAATTAGTACTAGTTATTACTAGTTATTATTAATCAGACAGCAGAAAGCATGTAGAAGATTATATACAGCAACACGTAAGAGTTTTCAGCAAAGTTGTGATCGCAATTCATAGATTTTTTGAAATTTTCACATCAAATATGCTACAGCAGGTTACATGGAGTTAAAAGTTAATGAAAATAATGACAAAAATAATGACATTTAAACCTGCCTCTCACACAAAGCTATCACATGACTTCAAAATACTAGGAAGCACAAATCAACTCTTTCTATTATGGTACAGGGCTTTTTTGTTCTTCTTTGAGCTTTTAATAATACAGACAGAATATCAAACAGTTTGTAAGGACACGAGGATGAGTAAATCATGACAGAATTTGAATGATCACAAAAGGAAGGTTTTAGAGATGAACTGTCAGCAGGTAAGATGTGCCAGGACAGTGTTATTGATGGTGGAGGCAGCTGCTGGGGCCCGGGGCCGGAGCCCAGCTCTGACAGCTTTGGCTTCTTTTCACATCGTGCAGCCCTCTGACGGTGCGGCAGGCCTCGGGTCTCCTCCTGAAGGCTGATCTTGGCACATGATGGGTGTGAATGCATGCACACAGACAGGAAAAGGCCCAGCGCCAGACGCTCT